AGGACCGGACCCAGCACCGACCCCTGGGGAACACCGCTGGTTACAGGTCTCCAACCAGACTCTGCACCGCCGATGACAACCCTCTGTGCTCTGCCAGTCAGCCAGTTCTCAACCCACCTCACTGTCCACTCATCTATCCCGCACTTCCTCAGCTACTCAGTTAATCTACTCATATGCTCTCCAGAAATTTGATATCCAAATTGAGATGAGTGCATTATTTGTAGGCAGAACCGTAAGCAAATCAAAACACACAACTATAAGAAATAAATTATTTTGTAGTGAATTTTCTCTTTTTAGTGGATTATTTCAAGATCCACGTCTCATGTAAGTACCATCCACTTTTTGGCTTTTACAAGTGGTGCAAATTTTCCAATAAATTCAGCTGTGAGTATTATAGCTCAGTAAAAGAATACTTCCTGGGGAATGTGAAATCCAGAAAATAGATGACAATAGATAATCTGTTTCAAGGGAAGAGCATCACTAAGTCCTAAGGGATACCACTAATTATATCTTTGGAAGAGAAGAATGCAAGTAAGAAAAACAGCTAGGCCCTCCTTGTGAGGCTACTCAGTGATAACATTTTGCATAAAACTGCCTATAATTGAAAGAGACATGAGAGAATAAGCATGAAAAAAGAGTGCCCTGTAGGTGAAAGCAAGCAGGTGCAAAAAATGAGAGCAGCAAATCCCTCTTCCCCTTCTCTGCTTCTCCATTTGCAAGTAAGTTAAATCATTTAGAAGGAAATAATGGACGTGATGAATTAAAATTGAGGTAACAAAGAACAGAAAAACAATGCATGGAATGGCACAGAGAATAAATGAAAAATACACCCCATTCCCACTGCGTGAAGATCAAGATCCATCATCTAATTGCACGTTCCACGATATGTAATACTGAGTATCGGAGATGTCCATCCAAGTTTTTAGCCTTGTAGTTATGTTCAGAGCTGATAGCAAGCTGGGAAATCTCTCTTAAAAAAATAAACAAAACCAACACCTAACCATTTCGTATGAAATGCAGTGACACAGTGGCACTGTACAGCTTTGTGATTCTCTTTCTCTATAATGGCTGTAGGCAGTATTTGATGAAGCCTTCTCCAGAAGATTCTTCCAGATTGAATTTCTTTCTGTTCCCACAAAGTGAAAAACAAGCAAACAAAAATCACTAAACAGTTACATTTGACAAGAAGGGAAAAAAAAAAAGAAAAAGAAGGCATCATGGGGAGCTTTTCATTCCCAGGTAATTTTGGCTATGGTCTGAAAGCAGGTAGCTATTCTAAGCTTGGGCAAGAGAAACTCAAAAACCAAGAAGGAAGCTCTTGTATTGATCTCCTTAGGAAAAGAGTGGAAAAGATGCAAAAAAAAAGGCTGAGAATATATATGATCCCTGCAGGATAAAGGTCTTGTCTCAGTCAACATTTACTCTCTGGATGAAGGAGATGAAATCATCCCAAATGTACATAGTGCTCTGTCTCTTTTTTATACCCTGAGTATAAAAGCAGTCTGAGGTGTTTAAACCTGCAATGGTGGTATTAAATTACAGAGTACAAGGCTTTTCCTATGGTTCCTTCTCTGGTAGAGAACAGTAGGCCACCAAGTAGATTACAGTAGCATGTATGAGCTCTTCAGTATCCTCACCTAACGTTTCTAGCATGGAAGAGTGGGAATCATTTTGACTGTGTTCCTTTTCCCATATGATCAATGCAGAAAATCTGCCAATGCCAGCCCGACATGTAGAAGGGGCTCAAAATTACCAGTCCTCATGTTTACAGTGATGGGTTTTGTTAAATATTTATATCCAAGATGCTGACTTCTTCCAGAAAAAAAAAAATCAGCTGTCACTGTGATTGAAAATGTTTGGGGATTATTGCCTTTAACTGACGATTTGTCTAAGCAAATTTAGCAGTAAAGTTTTTATGCTTTTCACTGAAAAGTGGCAAGTGAAGGGTGATAAAATCCTGCAGAGCTTCTCCTCAGCTTTGTTCCCTCATTGCATAGTTCTGCAAATTGCAGCAAACCAGTCACATGGAGCCCTCAAACCACAGGGCTCACATAGTTCGTGTTCACTTCTTGCCTCGTCTAGGATAGCTGCTGGATTCAAAGTCACATGAGCATGGTTAGAAGAAAACAGCCTTGATATGTTTACCATAAATCTGTGAACCAAATATCCTGTCAACTATGTATTATCCAGGTCTTTTAACACTTTTTAATTATATTTGAACATGCAGTGCAGTGCCTTGCTACTTCTCTGGAAGAGAAGCTACTTCTCTGTTCTGGGACAGGCTGCCCAGAGAGGTTGTGGATGCCCCATCCCTGGAGGTGTTCAAGGCCAGATTGGATGGGGCCCTGGGCAGCCTGGTCTAGCATTAGGTGGGATGGTTGGTGGCCCTGCATGTGGCAGGGGGTTGGAGATTCATGATCCTTGAGGTCCCTTCAACCCTGGCAATTCTGTGATTCTCTGTTGCTGCAGCTGTCTTGAAGGCAGAGTTCAGTCCGGCATGATTTCTTTATAGGTGCATTGCTCATTTCTAAGAGGAGAGAGTAAAGGTAGTTTTCAGACAAGTTTCTCAACTATGTGTTGACTACAAATATTCTAAGCAAATTTTTGCAGCTAGTAATGCATTTCTCACAAACGCCATTTCCATAAATACCAAGGTAGAAAGATGTCCATAAGGCAGCATGATCTATGTTTCTATGGATGCAAGAATCATGGAATGGTTTGGTTTGCAGGGAACGTTAAAGTCCTTCTAGTTCCACCTCTTCTGACATCAGCAGGCACACCTTTCACTAGGTTGTGTTGATCAAACCCCCTTCCAGCCTGGCCTTGAGCACTTCCAGGAATGGAAGTGTTCTCCTTCTAGACTATGACTGTAACTGTACAAAATTGGCTGCCCTGGAGTTTAGGTAAAAACAATATTTCAGAAAATGATTTTCCTAAAAGCCCAAGGATTATGTACTTAGTCCCTGCCAAATATCTGTGAGGTTTTGTGTACGCTCAGGTGCCCTTCAAAAAAGCCCACATCTCTGTTTAAGTATTTTCCATAATTGCTGCTTCCCACATCCAGCCAGCCACTAATGCACGCTCTTGCACATCACCATGTCTATTGCAGCTGATCTCCAGACTTCATCCAGAAGGAACACGCTGAGAACAGGTTGAAATAGTTAGGAATATACACTGAGACATGTAATTAGATTGAACCAGACTAGGCAATAGGAACAGCTTCTAAATGAAGGCTGACTGCTGTCTGCAGTGAGCGCAAACTGCAAGAGGAAGGGTTAAGAAAATTGAATTTGGAAGTAATGGGGTAATAGGCAAATATATTCAGAATTAATATATTCATATAAATATTGTACAGTAATTTATTTGCCAAATAGCAGTCATTTACTCTGTGGCAGAGGTCAAATAACGGAGAAAATTTATTTGTGAATAAATTATTCAACAATTAATACAAAATGTAGCTGCTAAATTATTCATGGAGACAAATTCAACCAGTTCTAATTCATTCCCACTTCGAAAGTGTTTCTAGATACATCCATACGAGCATTTCAGCAGGGATCACAAGTGCACTTCTGAGTGTCTCCCAGTTGCCCTACTCTTGCAGCTCTAGCTTGTGTCATTGTATGGCTGGATCTGGGGGTAAGGAGGTGCCCTGTCTCACCCACTCCAGTGTGGTGAGCTCAGGTGATGGGAAGAGGATTTAATCTGAGCAGCAGCCACTGCATGGAGCAGTGCTGTGATATCAGTCCGTGGCTCCTGAAGCAGGCAGAGGACATTACTCCTGTGTCTGCACACTGCAGATTGCTGGATGTCATCCACCGAGGCCTTTGTGGAGCCTGATACCCTGTCTTACATAAATCCATAAAGGTGTTTGTTCTTCCCTCGAAGATACAAGTAACCTAATGCGTTCCTGAGTCATTTCTCCCAGCATTGACTAACTTGGCATTGAAAAAGAAATCTGCACGTTAATCTTAAGTTGAATTTCCCTTCAGGAGCAGCTTCACTGGAAGTCACTGTACCCACCAACCACTTCCCACCAACCAAAGGCTTTCCCAGCGAACCAAACCCTCTCTTCTCACAGATCTTAATATTCTTTTGCAGTTCAACAAGTGGTTCAACCTCTTGTCAGCTTCAGCATGCCAGATGGCTTCTCAATTCCTGAGATCGTGGTCCTCCTTCATTGGATGCATTAGAAGAAAAGGTAAGCAGTCCTTCATGTGGTGTTAAATGACTGGTTGACTTATAGCATAGACCCGGAGCAGAGGCACTGTGTCTATTCATTAGTCTCTTCTTTTTTTCTAAGGGAGGGAATCTCTAGCTCCCCTATAGCCAGTCCCTCATCCAGGGCCCCTCGGGGTGATTCTGAGGGGACTGGTGGAGAAATGCATGTCTGCAAGGCTGAGGAGAAGGCAGGGATGCCAGTCAAGTTAATGGGAGTGCGTGAAGGAGATAAGAATTACACATGTATTAGGGAGGTTAAGACATGTCAGCAAAGACAACTTAAAAAATATGATTTTCCACAGTTAATTGCAGTTTAACGTAACAAGAAGCAGTGCGTGCTTCCAGAGGTAAAATCTGAAGGCAGGGAAACACAAAAGACAGATGTCATGTATTTATGTACTTCGAGGCCTCATACACCACCACCTTGTACACCACCAGCTGTATTGCATTGCTGTCAACTTCTCTTCCTTCAGAATCTGCTTCCTAATAATGTTTCCATATGTGAGAAACCAACCATTTTAAGCTTTTTTTCCTTTTTTTTTTTTGGTTAAAGCCATATCTGCAGGCTTAGTGCCTGGAAATCAGAGCCTCTGTGAATCTGTGTCCAGAAGCAGGACTTTGTGGACATCTGTTGGTGGCTGCTTCCAGCATAAACAGGGCCTGGTGAGTTGCATCAAAGTACCCAGGCCTTTTGAATCTGAATCTATGGTTACTATCTGGATTTTCTTTTGGGAGATGGTCTTTGTGTGGTATAGTTGGAGACTTACCTGAAGTGAATGAATGCTTTTTCTCCTAGTCTCTATTTCAAGGACATACTTTTAAAATGGCTGCTATCTTTCATTATTCCTTAACACATATTTTAAAAATTTCTACCATATATCATAACTGAAATTTGGAACAGGCCACTTGTTCCATTGACACAATTTCATGTTCCCACTGAACTGGAATCTCTAAATTTTGCAATATTCACTTATGCCTTCACTATGTACCACTGAAGGATAGTGAATACACTGAAGCCTCAGTGGCTGACCCAGATGCCTTGCAAAATAATCATGAAAATTAACCAGTCCAAGCAGAAAACCTACTCTTGCCCTTACCATGGTTGTATTGGTATTAATTAGGGGAAAAAGAAGCTATTAACTGGCTCACAAAGAGTATGAAAGAAATGATTCATTTCCAGTGAGTGAGATGCTGGAGTTTTTGCTTGAAATGTGTGTGTTTTTCCTCTGAAGAACCGCAGTATATGCTGCTGCACAGACCCTGTTCCCTGCCCACAGGGCTGAGCTGAAGCTTTTCAGCAGGAGAACCTGAGAACAGGGTCTCCCTGATCAATAGCACAGCGGCAGCAACACTGGCTCACAATGTGCTGCTTCATTTGATGCAACTTTTGTGTGAAAAAGCTGTGTTTGGCTTTGTAGTATTTCATGCTGCATCTTTCAGTGATTTTCCAGCACTAAATCTGCTTTTGTGTTGCAGGTACCAAGAGTAACTGCTGAAGTTTCCAGTGCTACAGCAACGAAAGAGCAAAATTGGGTGCCTGGAGGAAAAGTAATCTGGTTCAGCTGAGCTCTGTCTGAAAAGCAGGTTACCATAGCTTAATGAATTATCCTGAGTTTGCAGAACAACGTGTTCTCTTACCTGAAAGGTAAGATAAAGCTACGTTGAAAAAAAGAAAAAGAGTATTTCATTAATGTTTAAAACAGCTAACCTGGTGTTTGCCACATCTTGAGTGCATGCCTGGCTGCAGTCAGTGGCTGTCTGCCTGGTGCTCATCAAGAGATGGCAGTGTTTCTGTGCAGAGGCAGTGTTTCTATTGCTGGATCTTCATTTACCACAGTGTCTGACAGAAGGGCGTTCTGACTACACAGAAATATACTTTTTATAATCACCTCTAAGAATATTATGACAGACGATTAATAATCTGACAGCAAAGTAACTATTTTTAATGGCTTAAACTGAACACTTTATTTCATCTTTGAACCAATTCTCACTGTAATCCCATTACTGCAATAAAAGTTTGGGTAGCAGGATCATACTGGCCTTGCTCTGCCTGCAGTGCCTTGATGAGACCTGTGCTGGCAGGAGCAATATGTTCAGCACTGACACAAAAGCCTCAGGGTAGAAGTGACCTGCTGGAAGTCTTCAGAATTTATTTCAGGTGGTTCAAAATGTACTTTTACCTTTGCTGCTGAAATTTGATAAATGCAGCAGCAAGTTAGTTATGAGACATCTTAATTAGCCTTGGAGCAATATCTGTTTGGTTTTGGATGGTAGTTTTTGTCATAGGTGTGAGGTTATACACCTGGTTTTTAAATGGGGACACAGGTGCACGTGGTTTACTCCAGTGTTGGTTTTCCTGCATAAAATTTCACATAGATTCTGCTGAACTGAGTTTAAATAGTTTTTGTGGTGAACTTAGAGCGTTTTCCAACAACTTTTGTGAGCCTTGTACATGATTTTGCGTAGACAGAAACAGGTCATTGGTATGTGAGCATCTTTGGTGAGGCCTATTCTACTTGTCTGATTCATTGGTTGGCCTTCTTACTTCTGGCTTCCACCCATTGCAGTTCTCACTTGGGAATCTAAAACCTGCTGTTAGAAAAGTCCAAGGGAAGCTGGTATTCTCATCCTTAGGTACAGCTTCTGAAATATCATAAATAAAATCACTCCTTGGCTGTATAAACCTGTGTACCTTTCAACTAAAACTGTAGCATTTCAGCAAGATGCCAAACTGTACAATTATTTGTTTCTTCCTGTAGTATGTCAGCATAGAACGTGTGTATTTGAAAGGAGGGTTAATGGAACATTTGAAATGATCATTGGTAAATGCTACATTGTATGTATCTTAAATCCAGAATGTGACAGGTAACTGCAGCTGGCTGTGATTCAGGTAAGGAACATGAATGATTCACGAAGTTGGTGGAAGTGGAGTAGGTAATTCTTTCATCTTGATCATTTTCTCCCTGAAGCCAAATATCTCGCATATGGTGACAGCTTTGTAAAATAGTATGATGGCCAGTAAGAACAGGGGAGCATAGAAAGACAACTGCTAAAACAGATTTGATTTGGATATAAGAGAAAGAGCCTGTCTCTCTTTGTCTTGCTTTTTTTTTTTTCCTTCTATTCTTTTGCTGGCTTTCTTACCAGGCACAGAGGGAATTGTTAGGAAGGAAAGGTGCCTGGCCTGGAATGCTAATATCTCTGCTTTGATAAGTGTGAGAGATGTTTTAATTAGGAAGAGGATGCAAAGACTTAGAAGAATGTAGTTACTCATGTAATTTGAAAACTCTGGAAACAATCCTGAGGGGCAATAGCCTGTGGAACAATTACAGTTTATTTCAGTTTATTATGTAGCCAGCTGTAGCTTGTATGTGCATTTCTGAGGTGGCTTGATAGGAAAATACCTGTGTGATTCTGTTTCAGTTGGCTTTTTTCCAGACAGAAGAGCCCTAAATTATACTTAGCACGTTGTTAACTGCTTCCGCTCTGAACCTTCTCAATCGCTTTAACAAGGTAGATAAAGAACATCTTTTTCACCTGAGCCAAACCCATAATCTGGCAGACATGAGCTGTAATCCATGCAGGAATCCCAGTGGTTAGCTGGAGGAGAAGGGATGGCTTGTTATGCTGCTGGACATCAGTACAATCCGTGGCTGGAAGCTGAACCTTGCTGTAGAGACTTCTCAATTCCAAACCTGGCTACACCTGCCCACCATGGGCTTGCCCATCATGTCAAGAATGATGGACAGTTTCTGTGCCTGCCCTAGCATAAATGGTGTCTTTGGTTAAAGATCTTGAGTTCAGAAACGTCTTGTGATCTACCCAAAATTGTTTGATAGGGTCCTGTAACTTAGAATTGACTTCTATATCTGTCTCTCCCTTCTTTTTCTTCCTCTCTTCTTAAGTTACCCCTACTTTGTTTTCTTCTTTTTCCTTTCCTGTCCCCTATTTTCTGTAGATCTAATTGCAGGTCATCTGCACAAGGCTTTCCCCAGCTCATCTCTGCATCAGAAAGAGGAGTTTCATGAGCCAGCACAAGGAATGCATTGTTGCCTTCCATCTTGCCTGCAGTGAACTCCTCAATACAATGATAAACTACTTGTATTAAACAAGAGAAGGAGAATTTTGAGACAATAAATAAATCATCTCCCTGCAGAGCAAGTTGGTAAACGTGAACAGGGTAAGCTTGAAGCACTTCCAACCTCAGGAGCCACAGCATGCATAAGGATTTGATCCAACCCCGCTGAAGTCAGTGAAAAGAATCCTGCAGGCTTTTGGGAGCTTTGGAGGGGGATTTGTGTTTTCTGGGGAAATGTGAACTGTCAGTATCCTTCTTCCCCCAGCTGCCTCTGTGCAAGAGCTGAGCAAATCTCCCATGGTCTAGTTTCACTCTGATCCCCAAACGGAATTGTGATCCTGTGATACTAGGGCAAGTGGCAAGCTGGGTGGATGTTTGCAAATGCCACTAACAGCAATTCTCTCTCTTTCAAAATGTTTAGTGGCAATATTTCTTTTTCTTTTCTTTCTTTCTTTTTTTTTTTTTTCTTTAGAAAAATAGATATAAAATTGGAGATCTGGAATATTTGCTTTTTGCTGCTTGTTAAACTTTACTTTTTGGCAATTTACATTTGAGAATTACTTTCAGGGACAACACTTCAGTCAGTTGTTACATTTATTGTAATTATCAGCTTTGTGAGCCTGCAATCCACAGTTCTGCACCCATCCTGCAAGATGTTGGTCGTGTGATCTATAAAGATGATCAGAAATTTGGCTTTTGTTTCCTACAGGAAAAAAATAGCAGAGGCATTTTGGGGGCTTGTGTCTTTACAGTTACTTTATCTCCTTGTTTGTCTCTGGTCCCAGAACCTTGTGTACTGGGAGGAAAGCAGACCTTACTGGAGACAAAACTGTGTTTCTCAGCAAACCAATTTGCAAGAAAGCTCAAAAGCAATTACACAAAGTAAACAAGAAAGGATGTTGTAGATCTTGTCCCTTTTTCTAGCTGGGTACTTAATGCAGAGCTGATGGGATTATTTGATTTCACCCTTCCAAATCCTACTGTGTGTTATCTTTTCAGAATGACTTTTATGTAATCTTTAGTGTGCATAAATACATGTTAACAAAAGTGATGCAATGAAAGCAAAATGGTAAGCATCAAAAGCAAAACATTATCATGCAAACATCACTGTTTCTTTTCTCCTGCAAAGGCTAAGCCCATTGGCTTGCATACTTGAGGAATTTATTATGATCTTTCCCCAGAGTGCAGATCCACAAAAAAATCTAATGTGGTATAAAAGCTTGAACACATATTATTGGTTCAAAGGAATGAAGAAAGCTTTGTGTGGTTCTCATCACGATTTTAGCTGATCTAGTTGCATTTGTTCTCCTGATTTCTGTCAGGTTTTAACATAGATTAAATTGGAGAGGTTCCTTTCTTTCAGAGCTCCACCTCTGTTTTCTTGTGTGTGTTTGTCCTTGGGAGTCTTGCAGCTAACGTATACCATAAATTTCCCCACCCTGTAATAAAATGCATGCCCTGCATTAGAGAGCAGGATGGGAACTTTCATCAAAGCTTCCCATGGAACAAGACATCAGTCTTTCTGCTTCCTTCGGGGGTGTTCCTAGCAATCACCAGCTGGAGGAGGAAATGCAAAGAACTGTGCGGCAACCATAATGCCTCTTCCTTTCATTGCAGCTGCTATGCAGAGGGGCTGGAGTCTTTCATTTACATACCAGGTGGTGCCATGGCTTCTGTCCTCTTTAACACTCTGGAGTAACTCCTCATTACCACTTGGGAAGGAAGTACACAGCATCCTTTAGAATCAAATATACAAGAAGAAATCAAGTAGGTGTCTCTCAATTCTGTGTGCAAAGTAAAGAAAAAGTACTCCAGGAATTTAGAAAAGGGGTTAGAAATGTTGTTTCAGTCAGTCAAGTGCACTGCGGGTGGAATCAGCACACCACTTGTCTATCACTGACAGTGTAACAGTAGGCATGCAAGTGTTTCTTCCTACCTAGTGTTAGGACACCAGCCCTGGCCTCACCTTCCTTATCCAACTGAGATGAGGCCAAAACGTTCACTTAGGGAGTGGGAACATCAGCTTTCATGTAAAAGTGGAGGTAACAGTGCCTCAGATGGATTAGGTCTCGCATTCGTCATTGTGAATTTGCTTTTATGTTTGTGGAATGTTATTGAGGTTTAAAGGCTTGAAAAACGCCCTCTCCTCCAGATTTGATTGCTCATTCATTACTCATTACCTAGTGGTATGCAGTTTGCTGTATGGAGTAGCAGCAGAGCTATCAGTAATATCTGCTGCAATTAGCATTTGAAGCTAGGAATGCTGGAATCAGGCCAGCCCACTCCAATTTTGCATCTTAGAAATGATAAACAGGAAAATAGCACATGAACAGCATTCTTTCACCTCAGATTTGGTCAACCTTCTGCTGTAGGAATGGATGTGGGGTGCAGGTGCCCCTTCCCAGGGTCAGGAAAACGCATTGGGAGTACCTTGCTGTAGGTATGGCATCTCTGCCATCACATAACTGTGCTGTCCAATTGCATTTCAATCCAGCCCCACTTGACATGTAGCTGTCTTGCAATAGTGAATTCTATAAGGTGCCCACGTGCTGCGTAAAGTGGCATCTTTCATTTGTTTGACACTGGCGTGCTGGTAATTTTATTGCCTGAACTCCCACTCTCATATTATGAATCAGTAGAAAAAGGAGAGATGGATCATTTTCATATTATGCCCTTCATAATCGTAAATACTTTAATAAAATTGCTTCTAACTGTACTATAAAGTGCAAATGCAGATTTAATAGTGATTTACAAAAGAGCTGAACAAAAAAGGGCAGTGTCTTTCTTTTTTAGAAATTCTTTGTGATGGCTAAAGAGCGGGAGAAGGGATTGGAGATGTGATGTTTCTTAACTTCATTGTAGTTGGAACAGGGTTAGTGAGAACACTGCGGGTAAAATAACAATTCAGTCAAAATGTTATTTTATCAAAGCTAGAGGGTTTGGCAGAGGCATGTTTATTTCTAAGATCTTCTTGCTGGGGACTCCTGGGTCTGCGGCAGAAAGCAGTGTGTTACACATTGACCTCAGATGCAAAGAACTTGTGCTGAAATTCTTTGAAGGATGAAGGAAAAATAAGAAAAGAAAAAAGTGCCTTTTAATTTG